TTTACCATATGACTGCACAAATAATCAATTCAAATAACTTTTGAACATAACACTCTCAATTAGGACAGAAAGAAGTAAAAGGAAGTCTTGAACTTTCCTGAGTGGGTTTATTAGACACAGTGATCCTGAAAATATTTTGTGTTGTAGCATAGAACAAATGAGTAAATATATTGGTGCATTTTGAACCAGAGTTTTTTTTGTAGGATAAGGGATACAAACAGGAATGAGGAAGATAAGGAAAAATCCTATGGTATGCATTCAATTTGGAGGTATCAGTGTTCTTTTAAAATATATATATTTCCTTTTTCTACTGAATGGGCTTATAAACAGTGATACCCAGTAACAATAAGCACAGCTAACTTCATTATTCAATTTCTAAATACCATTACCCAGTGAAAAGAACCAGGGCACCTGAGAAATGGTTAATTCCAGGTCTGAGGCAGCTAAGTAGGGGAAGTACAAGGTGACTCAGTGCTCTTCCAAACAAGGAAGTGCTCAAAGGCTATAGGGACATATCAACAGAACAGAGTGGCTAGCTTGCTGGGGCTTCTTCTGGGCAAATTTGAGCATCAAAAAGAATAATAAACAGAAGTGATTTATAACAGTGTAAATAATAACACAAATTCCAGGAACTTCCTCCACCCTACCCCCTGCCCTGGATAGTCTGATTAATACGTCTAGGTGGGGTTTGAGAGTTTACATTTCTAGGCAACTTGCAGGTGCTGCTGAGGCTGCTGATCCAGGGACCTTAGTCTGAGTAGCACTGGATTATAAAACTTTGAATTTAAAAAGTATCTATGAAGAGAGCGAGCGAGAGTGAGTGTGATTGATTGGTTAGGGAGGAGTATAAAAGAAAAAGGTTTTCTTTACAGAAGAATGCCAGCTAATAAATATACAAGGAAAGACAGATTTAGAAAATCACCATTTTGCACTTCCCAGTTTAATAACTGAGTCAGGAAGGGATTGTCAGTGGATGCTAAAAGCATTAAGAGAAAGGCTTTGGGGAATAGAATATTCACACAGTCTCAAAATAAAGTTCTCATATCAAATTACTTATTAAGAACAGAGGGGAAAGTTATATTTTTACCACTCCCCTGAGATCTTCCTGAAATCAGAAGATCCTTTTGCCAGTCCTTTAGCATGCTTCTTATATCTCTGTTATTGCACTTAATTTATTCTGCCTGGCTTGTTTTTTAAAGAACCTTCTTAATATAAAAGTATTATATGTTGGCTTGCATTTATTTTTGCCCCAGCTTTATTGAAGTATAATTGATAAATAAAATTTATATGTTATATATATAATATGTTATACGTTATGTTATGTATTATGTTATAATACATTGTTATATGTTATATATAATATATAATATGTTATCTATATAATAATATCTTAAAGTGCACAGTGATGATTTGATATATATGTGTATATATATATATATATATATATGTGTGTATATATATATA